TCATTATTTTTGTTGTATGGATAGAGTAAATTTTAAAACGAACTTATCGATTTGAAATTCGTAGTAGCATACGGTGTGTTGCCGAGTGTAGTATGCCTACTTCAAAGCATTGATAGTATTAATATTCTCGGTATTATTTAAATCACATTTTCGTTATCTGCCCATACTGCGCTAATCAAGCAATCAATCAGAAAAGATGGCGTTCAACTCAAAGAATTCAGAAACTGAGCTAAAGAAGATTTATTACTGCGTACAAGCATTAAGACAATAATTACGTTTAATAAAATAGAACGTTAAAATACTAGAAAATACCGAATAAAACACAGTTTTATCTACAATAATCAAACGCCAACGAAAATCTTAATTAAAGTGGAATATCCTGGACTAAAACAAACAATAATTTTAACTTTACACTACTAAACGCCAACTAAAAATTACAATAACGCTTCACATTCGTCCTTTCGGTACGGAAATTTAAAAAACAAGTATAAATTGTGCACAACTCTTGTGCAGATAAAGCGCATTTTTTTAACCGAAATAGCTTTTGTTTTGACATCACCAATGGATATATTTCTTGCAGACGTCTCAATCGCCCTTTGTGAGTACCCTCTTCCGACAATCCGTTCTTGAGGTATAAGGAAATATACCTGAGGTCGAGGAGGAGGACTATGGTTGGTAGAAATTAATTCCTTTCGTTGAGACCTTTCATTAGAGTACCATGAAGGATAAAACTACTTCCACTCCCCCCCCCCCCCCCCTCCACCCGTACTTTAATAAGAGGACAGAAAGAAGGGCAGTAGTTGGAAAAAAACGGTTCCTTTCCTTGAGACCTTTAATTAGAATACATTGAGAGCTTAAATTAATTTTTAACTACCCCCCCCCCCCCCCCCCCCCAAGTTTATAGTTTGTACAAACCAATTTATTTCGATGAAACCTTTTCATTAGGAATACCATGATGAAGGGTAGAACATGTGTAACCCCCCCCCCCATTATCTACAGTTTAAATAGGCACCACTCAGGCATGCGTATGCAAAATCTGAGACCAATTGGTTGTGCACGTTTTAGACAACGAAATTTGATAGTCGTCTGGCACACCTTCAAGGTATAGGCTACCTACTGTAAAAAATTGCAGACCTCTAGGACCATTCCCCTATAGTAGAAGTAGTTCAAAACGGTAGACGTGGGTCCGAACGGACGGACAAAACGCAAACAATAGCACATTTTTTTTTTAAAATACGCGAAAAAATCCCAGGCTCAAATTCTAAATTATTGCAATAATTTCTACGAAATTTCGGAATATGCCCCTCCTCTTAAAGTTGAAATAACTACACTGTTTAGGTGTAGCAAACATGTATATAAAAGTTCAACGTTACAATTTCTAAAAGCGATATGATCAGAGTTTTTACATCGCGTCTCAACCGACTTCTTACTGCGGCCTTATGGCTGAGTTTGTCAACTTAACCCATGGAAGCGGGTGGTTTGTGTCATTTACATGAAAAAGTTTGTGTTCAAATATCTTTCAAAAATGTTTGTTACTTCTGCCAACTGTAAAATTAAACATGCTGACATTTGATGCCAATAACTTATTTTTTATTAAATATCAAACAAGTCTACAATTTTACATGCTACGTCAACCGTAAGCTCACAACTATCTCAAAATGTTCAACTGATAAAGTAGGCGATTTCATAAGGTAATAGTTATTTACATAATAAGTCATGAAAGTGGTCGTTTACATGACGCGGAGGCTTATTGAAAAGTACGAGGACGCGTAGCGTCAGAGTATCTCTTTAATGCCCCCAAGTCAGGTGGACTCGCTTTCATGACGTATTATGTATAAAATTTTACCTGAAACCGCAACATGTAGATAACTTTTCCAAATTAAATTATTCATATGTGTGAAATTTTGATATCTAACCACGCATGCTAAAATCACTTTATTTAATTGTTTAACTTCAAAATAATTAAAACAATCAGTGTCATTTCTAATGCAGTTTATGCTTTGTACTATTCAACTATACAGTCATTATAACTAGGTACAAACGCAGGTATCAGTGAAGAAGAGTACCTACCTACGCGAGACGTTGTTATAATGTAGCCGAAGCTGCGGCCGCCGGCGCCGCTCGCCACAAAGTCGAGACGGAGGTACGAAAAGGCGTACAAACCTTTTAATGACTGGCGCAAAAATAAAGGAATTACTCCCACACATATTATTCCATTATTTGTTAGTAATTAAAAAACCATTATCCTTTGTGTAGGTATATTAATATTAAAAATATCCGCATAGTCTGCTTTATAATTCTCCAATCGCTGATTGAATAACTTATTTAATGAACGATCTAATTGTGATTTTGCATGTACTAGGACTGTAATGGGAGTCAGGCAAAAATATTACAGTACTAGTCAGGTAAAGATCAACTTTCTAATGTCAAAATAGCCCTGAAATTTAGATTTTCTTGACGGTTTCAGGTAAAATTACTTATTGGTTTTACACTTTAAGTCACTGTCCTCCGAGCCAGTTCTGCGTTTTATAATTACCCCCTCTATTATTATCCTTTTATACTAAATATCTGTTTTAATTCTTTCTAATTCTGACTACTTTTTGACGTTGAACATGTAGGTAACAATTTCTTAGGTAACAATAAAGAGAACCATAATCAACACTAAAATACAAGCAGAGAAGAATGTGTAAATTAACTTATCTGCTATGTAAAAATAGTATACTGTAATGAAGCACTCAGTCATCGTACCGGAATTTATGCACACACCGTACATATAGATGACCGCTATCATAAGTGACCATCCCGTGTATATATGGACGAATAATTGGGCGCTTCATTACTAAGAAACCGTAGTCTGCATAATTATTTCTTCTAGGAGTGAGAAATAAAACGCAAAAGTAATGTGTTAATTTATAGAGCCGTGTAACCGCTGATAAGGAAACTAGTTGCCGTATATAACTGATCGCTGGTCAGTTTTATAATTGTTCCAGTAGAGATATGTAAAATATTTTTGTAGCACCCAAAAGCCCTCGGCATGGGAAAGCAGAGGCGTAATTAACGTGGTAATTAATATCAGTTCCCTTCATTCATTAATAACGATTGTAGTTCCCAATATTAATTCAAAACCAGGATAGAAACCGGCGAGGTCGCTCATTCCCACGTAGATAAGAGACCCTAACCCGAGATATTCCAGGAAACAATGGGTCGTATCGGGTGATGCCAGACATGCACATAATTAAGAAAAATGTTAAGACCGATCCCAGATTTTTATCATGTCAGGGAGAGGCGTAATTAATTAAAGAAGTTTTAATTTTTGGATGTAAACGCATCCTCCGGCCTGTCGGAATATCCGATGTTCACTCTCCGTATTTTGGGAAGGTAATATCAAGGTAACAGCACGATTTAGAGAGACCTTTTGGAAAATTTCGGTGTGCTCGAGTAAATTGCATCGACAATTTATCACCGTACCGTTTGATAAGATAAGCGTTTAATATTTTCCATTCGGTTAATTATGGGGGCATTGCTTTGCTTTTCCTGTGTTTGATTTCCTGTAGTAGTCGAGACAGTATAAACAAAAAAAAATGCGTTACCTTGCCAAAGTCACACAGTTTTGAAATTTAGCACAGACCTAGAGTTTAGCGTCCTAAATAAGTTGGGGAGTTTAAAAAATGGCACTCAAAATCATAAATTCATTTTTTGCTGCGGCCGACAGTTTCGAAACTACAGCGTTTTAAACTCCCGGATAAAATTGAAATTTCATTATTTACTCTATTGGACTGTTACGAGTGGACCTACAGTAAATAAAACACCAGCAGGTTGGATG